GCAGGCTCTGGGCCAGGTCAGGTAGAAACACCCAGCTCTGGGGAAGGGTGGGAACTCACCTCCTCTACCCCTCAGCAGGGCTCAGGTGGCCTTGCTGTAGCCCCAGGCTTCAAACACTGGTGTTAGAGACTCAGACTGAGCCACCCACAGACTCCTTTTGGAGGGTAAAGGGGACTTTGCATTTGGGGCCAAGTTAAGAATCTTGAAATGGGAAATCATCCCGCACTGGCAGGATAATCACAGGGGTAGATAGGGGGCAGTCAGAAGCTGCCAGGAGGTGGGAACTGAGGGGGCCATCCTGGGTCCTAAAGGGGAGAAAGGAACCCCCAGCCAGGGTGCTCTGGGAGCTGAGAGGGCAGGGAAGAGGCTTCTGCCAGAATTCTCAGCAAAGAGTGAGTTCCAGGACACCTCCATTTAGGGCTTCCGGCTCCCAGAACTGTACAGAATAAATCTGTGGGATTACCATCGTCATCATCACCAGCAACATCATTTTTACAGGGATTTAACTGAGGGCCTTCATATTAAACACTCCCTGTCCTTTTCATTTTTGTTTGGGGGCAGTATATTACTAAACTGCCAAATTTTCTGGGATGGCCTTGAACTTTCCATCCTCCTGTCTCAGCCTTCCACAGTACTGGGATGACAGGTGTGTATCACCACCCCTGGCTACATTTGTGTTTCTCACCTACTAACTGTGTGGTAATTTACTCATGGAGGGGGCAATGGAGCTGAGGATCAAATACAGGGTGTCTCTGTTACTTTTCTCTCATTGTTGGGACAAAATACCCAACACCCAAAATTAAGAGGGAAAGGTTTGTTTAGCTTATAGTTTTAGGAGGTTTCAGTCCATAATCAGCTGGCTCAAGGCAGAGCAGCATGGCACAGGGGCAATGCTTCAAGGCAGTAGCCAGAACAAAAAGGGACAAGAGCAAGCCTTTTCCCCTTCTGGTCATATTGTAGACAGGCCACCCCACCCCCGCTCCTCCCCTCCCCTATAGCACTCACAAGCTCTGCGCCCTCTTCTTAAACAGGATGAGGATATTTACAAAGTAAGGACCCTTGGCTCCCTGCTGAGTCTCTTAGTTAAGCCTCTAAATTGGTCAGGTTGACCCAATGTATCAACCATAACACAGGGCCTCATGCATGCTTGGCAAACATCCTACCCTGAGCCACATCCCCAGCCCCTGTGCTAGCTTATTACAGCAGCAATAAGAGATGAGGTAGGGCAGGAGGTCCTGGATATTTTGGAATTAGGTACACTCAGAAAACTGACGGCCACATGTTTGTTTGTTTGTTGAGACAGAGTCTCACTACACAGTCCAGTCTAGATTTGAACTTGCTATGTATCCCACGCTAGCCTCAAATTCCCAACCCTCTTGCCTCAGCCTCCCAGGTATTTGGATTACAGGTCTATGCCACTATGCCTGGCTGTATTTTCCCACACTTAAAATGAAGTAAAATGCATACGCACAGACATGCACCCCTCTGCAGAAGCATAATGATTCCCTAACAATCTGATCATAATTTTTGCTATTTATGCTTGTTTTTTAAAATAAGTTACTGGTGCATTTCAAATATACATAATGGGCTGGGGATTTAGCTCAGTGGCATAAGCATTTGCCTGGCAGGTTTGAGTTTGATCCCCAGTACAAAAAAAAAAAAAAAAAAAAAAAAAAATATATATATATATATATATATACACACACACACACATACACACAATGATCACTTTTATTACAGGGACCTTGTAGCTGTACATAATTTATCTCAATTCATTTTTTACCCCCACCTCCTTCTCCTCCCTTCAAGCCTCTTAGCCTCCTTATGTTTTCTTTTCTTTTCTTTAGAATCAAACTCAGGACCTCATTCTTGCCAGACAGGTGCTGTGCTGCTGAGCCATATATCTGGCTCCTATGTGTGGTTTTTTGGAGACAGACTCTCACTCTGTAGCTCAGGGTGGCCTTGAACTCATTGTGTAGCTCAGGTTGGTCTCAAACAGCGATCCTCCTGTCTCAGCCTCCTGAGTACTGGAATTATAGGAGCATCACTATGGCCAGCTTTAGGAGGAGATTTTTTATTTCACCCAAAATCCACTCTTGGTTCTTTGAAAAAAAGTACCTAGGGATTCACAAAAGGTATACGGGAATACTGCAATACAGCTTCTTTTCTCTTCTGAAAATCCTCAGGAGCATTTGTTTGTAGGCAGCTGGGGCTCTGCATGCATTCTGCAGCTCCGTGGTCCCGGTGACTTTGGCGGTGGTTCCCGCAGCGACCACGGGCAGGAAATAGCTCTGGTTACCGCATAAACCTTCCACAGCTTCTTCGCAGAGGATTGCAGGGTGAAGATGCCATTCCAGCTGAATCGAAGGTAACCTCGGGCCTGGCAGGCACCTGTCAGCAGGTGCCGGGCTGAGTCCATTCCGTAAGCTTTATTTTTATTGCAGGTTAAAGGGTCAGACGGTGCAGCCGTCCAGGCGGGCTTTATTTACGGTTCTCAGAGGCCCGGCTGGCCAGCGTCAGGAGGAAGAGGGATGGCACAGGTGGGGTCCCCTCTCCTGGTCCTGCTGATGACAGACGGAGGACGTGGCTTTGTGAAAGCCCTGCTTTTGGTGAACACGAGCTGCTGTTTGAGGCCCACAGGGGCCCCCCTCTGCCTCACGGTGACCTCCCAGCAGTAACAGCAAGGCGGCTCCTATGTCACATGCAAAGAACTCATCTTCAGCCTCTGGAGGACAGGTGGGGAGCTACATGAGTGTCTGGCACCAGGAGACTCCCCTTCTGCTTGCTAGCTAATCCTCACAAGGGTCACCACTAGGCAGTGGATTAGGGATAACGCATCCCAGAGATGTTTCTTAGTCTGATTGTTGTTATTTGCAGTGTTGGGGTTTGAACCTAGTTCCTCATGTGTGCTAGGCAAGTGCTCCGCCATTGAGCTACAGCCCCATCTGTCATCCAATGACTCTTGCAAGCAAGAGATTTCAGCATCCTAAGCAACAAAACATACCCAGGCTGACCCTGAACTCACAGTGATCCTCCTGCCTCAGCCTCCTGAGTGCTGGGATTATAGGCATGTGCCACCATGCCCGCTCCATTTTTCTTTTAAATGACAATCCCACTTTTATCCATGGATCTGTGAATAGATCCTTGGGCCATTTGCCCATCTTTGGATAGCTGCCTAGATTTTGAAGATATTTCTTTCCCTAAAATCTACAGCCTGGAGGCCTCTACATGCTAAGTAGGTCCTCTGTTACTGAGCCATGAAACAGATCCTTTAATTTAGACACCAGAGGCTCCAACAATGGGCAATTTTCTTGTATCACTCTTTTTTTTTTTTGGTACTGGTGATCGAACTCAGGACCTTGCCACTGCCAGGCAGGCATTCATGGCGCTGAGCTAGAGCCCCAGCCCTCTATCACTTCTTTATATGTTCTGCCTTCCACTTTCTTGGTTATTTTCAAAATTTATATTATTGAATATTGAACCTTCTACTTAAATTTATTTTTTATCAGTATACATTTGTGATACATAATGAATACATTCACTGTGAGCTGTCATTTTAACTTCATTTTCTAATTTTTCTGCTAAATTTGACATAGAACTGGGCGTGGTGACACACACCTATAATCCCAGAACTCAGGAGGCCGAGACAGGAAGATCCTTGTGAGTTCAAGGCCAGCATGGGTTACAAAGTGAGTTCAAATTCAACTTGAACTGCAAAGCAAGACCCTATCTAACAAGACAAAAAAATAAAAATAAAAATAATGACATGTGATTATGTGTTTTCATATTAAAAGGGTGATTAACATTCTTCATGGCATATTGCTATGTTTTGTTCTAACAGTAAAGGTGAACACCACTCACTGAACAAGTTTCAAAATAAAAATTAAAGAATAGTTAAAAGTGGATTTTCACCTCTAAAGATCTCTCTCTCTCTCTCTCTCTCTCTCTCTCTCTCTCTCTCTCTCTCTTGGTGGCAATGGATATTGAACCCAGGACCTTTGCACTGAGTTACATTTCCAGCTCTCTTTATTTTATTTTATTTTAGTTTAGTTTTAGTTTTGAGATATGACCTCAGTAAGTCCCTAAATGGCCCAGGCTGAGCTTCAACTTGGGGTCATCCTGCTTCTGAGAGCCAGGATTACCGGCGCCCCCACTATGCCTAACCTGGTGTCTTTTCTCATCTCACCCAGGACATCCCCTTCGTCTTGCCTTAGGTGATATTTCATGAAAGATGCTCTACTGCCATAGACTAAAATGTCCTCAGGAGGGACATGTGGCTTGCAGGTGCCTGGGGACCATCTCCAGTGGTGTCACCTCGGCAGGAAAGTCGTAGACTATGCAGCCTGGTACATTCTGAATCCAGGGGTTCTAGCTTCAAATAATAACTTAGTTCTTATAAACTGAGGATCACCATACTTAACTCCTTCAGTCTAGGTTTTCTCATCTGTAAAATGCAGCTAATAGTGAGTCATGGTGGTGCGCACCTGTAATCCCAGCCCTCAGGAGACTGAGGCAGGAGGATCACCAAGAATTTCAGCCCATAGGTTGTGAGTTCAATTCTTGGTGCCAAAAGAAAAAAAATTCAAGCCCAGTGGGTTCAAGGATATCCTGAGCTATACAGTGAGACTTGTTTCAAAAATCAACAAAACGAAAAGCGGTAGGATTCACTAAGACGTTCACAAACTATGACCACTGCTGCGGAACCCATGGCAATACTGGCCATGCTCTTCCACAGGACACAAGTAAACAAAAATCTCCATGTTTAGCGTCCCCTGTCCTGACCTGGGATCAGTCCCGGAGCTTGGGTGACCTCCTTCCTTGCTTAGAGTACTGGCTTTAGGGCTGCTGTTCTGATTTATTTTCTGTCCTATTTCTTTTATTCTCATAATAAAGGACACACTTTTCACCCTTCATCAAGCTTGAGTGTCTCCCCCATCTACAAACACAGACCATGAAAATCCTAACCTTGAACACTTGTGCTGGATGTGGTGGCACACATCTGTCATCCTGGCGCTCTCCACAACTTTGAGGACAGCCCGGGCTACAGAGGGAGGTCAGGGCCAGCCTAAGGCACATAGGGAGACCCTGTCTCAAAAAACAAAACAAAAAGCAAACCTTGCACAAACTGGAAGCTCACGCCTGACAGTAACTACATCGTACTCCCGCCCACTTCTCCCGTGTCCCTGTCCCAGCAGGAGAACCTGGCACAGTGACAGCCCTGTACCCCTTTCCACACCAGGACTCAGGACTTCTGGAGTGATCAAAAAATAAATAAAAATTAAAAAGCCACATCCTCGCACAGTTCAGCTCATAGTGCTTAGAGGAAGACTTACCAGTTAACCCTGTGTCTCCGTCTTTTTCTCTGCCTCCTTCCTTTGTCACAGAGACCTGATGGCATCACTGCTCCAAAGAGGCCGCCTCTGAAACATGTGCCCGTCTAGAATGCACGGACACTGGGGAGGTGCTCCTGTTTGAGGAAACTAGGAGAGAGACAGAGTTAGCAGGCTGGGCCTTCAGATGTTTTACAGGGTTGAAAACCTACAGATTTAATTTTTAATTTTGTTTTTTGATAATAGGGTCTCAAAATATAGTCGACTGGCCTCAAAATCAAGAGTGATCCTCCTGCCTCAGCCTCTTGTGTGCCACCTCGCCTGGCTCAAAACCTAGAGATTTCTTTTTTTGAGACAAGGTCTTGCCTTGTAGTTCAGGCTAGCCTTGAATATGTAGTGATTCTCTTGCCTCTGTCAACTGAGTGTTGAGATCACAAGCGTGCACCATCACAACCAGCCTTGAGCTCTGGATTTTTTTGTTGTTGTTTTGTTTTTTTGAGACAAGGTCTCCCTAGATAGTTCAGGCTGGCCTTGAACTCACTATGCAGCCCAGGGTGGCCTCAAACTCATCGTGATCTCTTGCCTCAGCCACCTGAGTGCTAAGGTTATAGGCATGTGCCACTACACGTGGCTCTAGAGCTCTATATTTCTTAACAGAGTTTAAATCAATGGGATTTTTTTCTTTTTTTGAGACAAGGTCTCACTATGTAGTCCAGGTTGGCTTTGAACTGACAGAGATTCTACTGCCTCAGCCTCTCAAGGGCTCTACCATGCAGGGTTGCAGAGTTGATAATTTGGATAATCTTTTTTTTTTTTTTTTTGAGATGGGGTCTCGCTATGCAGTTCAAGCTGGCCTTTGAGCTCACTTTGTAGCCCAGGCTGGTCTCAAACTCGAAACAATCCACCTGCCTCAGCCTCCCCAGTGCTGGGATTACAGGTGTAAGCCACCACGCCCGGCAATATTTATTGAGCACTTTGAGTGCCAGGCTTGATGTAGGTGCTGAGGATGTAACTTTCTCTTTTTTTAATAGGTACCAGGAATCGAACTCACCACACACTTACAAGGAAGGCGCTTATGCCGCTGAGCTAAATCCCCAGCTCCTGGATAATCTTTTAAAAGGGTATCTGCATGGAAAAATCACCTTAAACAAAGTCAAGAGCACCACTGCAAAAAATATTATAACTGGGGGCTGGGGATTTAGCTCAGCGGCATAAGCGCCTGCCTTGCAAGCAGGCAGTCGTGAGTTCGATCCCCGGTACCGATAAAAAGGAAAAAGACAAAAAAAAAAAAAAAAATTATAACTTACAGTAGACAAAAGGCTCAATCTTCCAAAATATATGCAGATCTTAGAAACTGTATGAAAATTATCAATATCTTAAAAGAAAATATTTGCACAATTCCCACAGAACCTACTTCCAATCCAGCTAATTAATTGTTCAGTGTTCACTCCATCCTTATGTTCTCGGAATAAAAGGGATAAGATTTCCCTGCCTCCCTAAATATGGAACAATGCCTTAATATGAAGGGTGCCTTGATCATTTCTAACTGTCTCGCATGTCCCCACACCTCTGAAGGTCACGGCTTTCCAGATGACTCCTATGATTTGGAAAAAAGGCATTGATTGATTCTGACGGCCCTCTTAGGTCTCCCCAATTTGAGAATCATTGGTTTACATTTATGTGTCTGTAAAGTCACATTTCTCTTCATGTTTAAAGTTTACCACAGGTGATTGCACTTGAAGCTCAACAGGGTCAGACTGATGGGGTAGGGGACAGTAGAGGTCAAAAAGTACAGAGGCTGTTTCCATGTATGGTGGCACAAGCCTGTGATCCCAGCACTTGGGAGGCTGAGGCAGGAGGATCACCATGAATCTGAGGCCCCTCTGGGCTCCATGGTGAGTTCAAGGCCACCCTGAATTTCATAGCAAGACCTTGTCTCAAAAACCAAAACAGAAGCAGAGGCTGGGGTGCAGCTCAGGAATGGAGCAAGGGCTTAGCATTAGCAGGTTTAGCCCCCAGCACCCCTAAAGCGTACAGCCTACAGGCACCCCACCCTAGAGATTCAGGCTCTCACACCTCGGTGTCTTAGGTGGGGCCAAGCAATTTGCTTTATTTTAAAGTATTATTTTTGGAAACAGGGTCACATTGTGCAATTCAAGTTAACCATGTTGGCTTTGAACTCACTACAGTACTCACTATGTAACTGCCTCAAACTGTCCCATCTGTCTGCCTCAGCCTCCTGCTAGTCTCTGTGTTTTGACAGGCTCCTTGAGTGACTCCACGGTAGGCTGGGAAGCCTGGTAATCAGGTCAGCTTTGCAACCCCAGCCGTGGTGAGGTGGGGCTCAGTCCACCATCTGCATTTGCAAGGGCCCCAGGGTCCACCCCAGCATGAGCAGCTGCGTCACAGCCCCTGTCACAATAGCCAAGGCTGCCTGTTCAAGAAGAGACAGGACCTGACCTCAAGAAGTAGAAGCTCAGCAAAGGGCTATGGGAGGACAACTGGGGTGAGAATTTATCTGGTGGGGGGCATGGTGGTTCCAGCACTTGGGAGGCTGAGGCAGAAGGGTCGCTGGGCTACCTAATGAGATCCCGTCTCAAAAAAACCACAAAAATTTGGAATCAATTGGGGTTGGCGAAAAAAAGATGCACTGTTAGCAAATACATCAGATACAGACTTGGTTTACCGGAAGTCAGCAGAACAGAGAGGCCTCTGCTAGCTAAGATCAGGGACTCGGTGTGCTGGCTGGACCCAGGCTGGGTGAAGACCATGGTTCTGGCTGACCTGCCAACTCAGCCTCTGCAGAAGACAAGCGGGTTTGAGAATTCGTCACTCTTCCCTCAGTTCTGTGCCACGTTGGGCAGCTTGACTACTTCATATTCAAATTCCTCACCTGTCTTTTTCTGAGATAGGAGAAGAATTAAGTCTTTCTAGAAGAAACCCTATATCTCCGTGGAGATCATGCACATGACAGTGTAGGGATTTGCAAATCAGCACATCTTTAGATAAGTTCCCAGGGTCTCTCCAGATAGACCCTGCAAAGGCAAACTGCCTTTAGATTCCTGGACACAGAAAGCAGCCCTGCATTGGAAGGCTGGTCTGGGGTCCGATGGGGTCCTAAGGAGTGAACGGACCCCTTCTCCAGTTCAGAAGCTTGGGAGCAGGCATTCACTGTTTATCATCCATGCCTGGAGGCACAGCCCTGGCCGCATGCTCCATAAATAGTTCCTCTTTTTTTCCTCCCAAGTCAGGGTCTTGATAATTTTTCCCAGGTCAGTCTCAAAGTCAGTCCTCCTGCCTCAGCTTCCCAAGTGCTGGGGCGACAGGAAGATGCTACCACACCTGGCTGTAAATCACTCTTGAATTCATAAATGAACATGGCCGGGCTGGGGGTTTAGCTCAGCGGCATAAGCGCCTGCCTTGCAAGCAGGCAGTCGTGAGTTCGATCTCTGGTACTGATAAAAATGAAAAAGACAATAAATAAATAAATAAATAAATAAATGAACGTGGCTACAAACTGACCTCAGACATTTGCTGAAAATATTTTTTAAAGGCATGAAGGCACTTGACAAGGTCGCTAAGCTTCGTCTAGTGTCAGGATGCAGGGAACCCTTCATTCTATGCTGTAGATTATCTTGGATTAGATTTTCTTAAATCCGCCAGAGATTCTAACAATGACTTCAGCTGACTTCTTCCCCATACCAGAGATTGAGCCTGATGTGTGCTATGCAAGTACCTTACCTGGGAGCTATACCCAGCCCTGTGGTTTCCTTCCCAAAGAAAGAAATTGGCCAGGCATGGTGGTACATGCCTGTAATCCTAGCACCAGGGAGGCTGAGGCAAGAGGATCATTGTGAGTTCGAGACCAGCCTGGGCTATAAAATGAGCTCAAGGCCAGCCTAAACTGCATAGTGAGACTTTGTCTCAAAAAGAACAAAAAAAAAAAAAAAAAAAAAAAAAAAAAAAAAAAAAAGAAAAAGAAAGAAACTAAAGTATAAAACTTGAATCTGGATCACTTAAACGTACAACGTTAAGGGCTGGGGATGTAGCTCAACCGTGCAGCACCTGCCTGGAAAGCGTGAGGTCCTGATTTTGGTTCCCGTTATCAAAAAGAAAATACTAAAAAAAAAAAAAAAGTACAACATTAAATAATGAGCAGGATAAGACCCTAAGCTCAAGGGATCCAACACAGCAAGACCTTGTCTCAATAAAATATTAGGAACAATATTTAGAAGCATCCACATGGTATAGAGAACAACAAAGGTCTCGAGGGGCTAATCCGAATGACCAGATTTGGGGGATGCTGCACTCTAGGAAGGTATAAAACTGCCGTGGAATGGGACAAGGCTGGTGACGGGGTGAGCTGCTCTCCCCACAGTGGCTGGTGTCAAATGGTGGCAGTGGGACCCGCTGGAATGAAAGGAGCTGTGTGTGTGCCCAGCGGCCACGCGCTGTTCTTTCTCAGCCTCTTGTCTATTGAGCTGTTTCTTTCCTATGGTACTTTTTTTTTTTTTTTTTTTTTTGAGACAGGGTCTCACTATGTAGCCCAAGCTGGCCTGGAACTTGTGGTGATCCTCTGGCTTCTGCTCCTGCACACTGGGATTCTAGGCATGAGCCTCCATACACGGCTTTCCTATAGTAACCTTTCATTGTATTTTCACTCTTAAAAAAAGTTGAAAGCTAGGGCATGCAGTGATTGAATTTGGACTTTGGGGGATCATTTTGAGGGGCAGGGGACAGAGAATTGGGAGGCACAGGAGGAGGGAGGGAGGTCAGTGAGTGGCTGACCACAGTAGCCCAGGTGACACGATGGTGGTTGGAACCGCCAGGCTCCCATTGGACCATGGGGCAAAGTGCTATCACGGCCTGACTCCAGGGCTGGTATTAGCGAGCCTCCAGCTTCTGGCTTGGGTGCCTGTGTCAGTGAGGTGGCTGGCTCTGCAGAGGGCACAAGGGGACACAAGGGGAAGCAGGTTCTAAGAGAACTGGGGTCATACGAAGTGGAAATGTCCCTTAGCTACTGAATTTGGGAACAAGAGCTGAGGTCTGAATTGGAGTCACCAGCACCAGCTGGCTTCATGACTTCTTTTTTTTGGTGAGGAGGGGACATGGGAATCAAACCCAGGACCTTGTGCTTGCCAGGCAGGCGCTATGCCACTGAGCTAAACCCCCAAACCCTAGGCTGGCTTCAAAGATGTAATCCTTCTGCCTCAGCCTCCCAAATCCCAAGATTACCTGTGTGTCCCATCACACCCACCCGACACTTCCTTTTGTGAGGGAGGGAACCTGCACCCACCTACCTTGCTCACTGAGGCTCCCAAATCAAAGCCAGCCCTGGTGACCTCAGGAACAGAAATTGATTTCCTCAGGGTTCTGGAGGTGAGGAGTCTGAGATCAAGGTCCCAACTGGTTGCTTTCCTCTTCGGGCCTCTGTCCTGGGCGTGCAGAGGGTCTGCTTCTTCCTGAGTCTCCCTACGGCCTTTCCTCTGCACGTGTGTGACTCTGTGAATGGCCTCTCCTTATTGGGATTACAGGCATGAGCCACCACGCCCAGCTCCAAAGCACATCTTAAACCGTGAAAATACCACACGCTCTCAAACTGCACCACAGGAGCTCCTAAACCACCATATTTTAAACAATACTTTTTCATGTTTTTGAGACAGGATCCCACCATGTGGTTCAGGCTGGCCTTGAACTCCCTATGAAACCCAGGGTGGCCTTGAATTCACAATGATCCTCCTGCCTCAGCCTCCTAAATTCTGGGATTACAGGTGTGTAATACCACACACAGTACATTTTTTTGAGAAAGATTTCTCAATTCCCATTTTGGGTTTTTGCTTGTTTTGTGTGTATTCCTGCTTACATACCCCTGAATGGGCTTATTTACACCCCAGTTGTGGCACCTGTAAGTAGAGTTCATTAGTTCAACGTGAAATTTTTTAAAAATTGATTCTTGCTTACCCTATGGTTTTCAAGAGGTGTAAAACAATGAATTACATCCAGGGATTCATACATCCTCCAAGACTTTTGGTTCCCTCAAAGGAATAAGTGGGCTTACTAACTGCAGGGTGGCAGGCAGGGTTAGGAACACAGGTAGACTTGTAGTTGGGGGTTTGCAGAGATGAACTGAGGTAACCAGCCATTCAAAGACAGTACCTCAGAGGCCATTTCCAATTTAATAGCCTTTTTCCTTCCCTGGAAAGAAAAACTGGCCACTTCAAAGATGCAACAAGCGCATTACCAACTGGCAGTGGAAAATGAGATCTTTTGTTTGAGTTGAATAATTTTCCAAAACGTTTTATTTATTTGTCCTTTTTGGTGATAACAATACAGAACAGTCTATCCTTTTATACTGGCATAGAACATTAATCAATTGCCTTAAATATATTATGTGAAAAGGGAACTGAACCACGTTATTACAGGAAACTTGCATTTTAGGCATACTTTGCAGTCTGTATAAATGCTTTTAATATTTATTTATATTTTTTTAAAAAGGCTTTAACTGGTCAAGGCCAGCCTAGACTACATAGCAAGACCCTGGCCTCAGAAAGCCGGCCATAGGCAGGGAGAAATTTCAACAGTAAATTTTCCCAGCCATAACCAATAGTAGGTTTTGTTTTGTTTAGTTTTTTGGTGTGTGTGTGTGTTTTGTTTTGTTTTTGTTTCTTTGAGATAGGGTCTTGCTATGTAGTCCTGGCAAGTCTCTAAGTTACAGTGATTCTCCTGCCTCAGCCTCCTGAGTGCTAGGATTACAGACATGCACCACCACAGTGGCAAGAGTTTTAAATTTATATAATCAACATGTGATTGAAAATAGAGAAATGTAAGTTTCAGCTAGCTAGCTGGGAGCTTAGCCCACTGATCCCCAGGACAGGAATGCGTGCTGTAATAGATGCAAAAAGTCACTAGGTGGCTCTGTCCTTTTAAATAGAACTAAGGTCCCCAAAAGATACACTTAAGGAACAAAATATGCCTACCAGGCAGAGCTTTTAGTCAAAATAATAAATCATTATTTGTAAGAATGGCTTCTCATTAGGAATAATTTGGAGCAATGGGTTAAGAACTAGAACCCAGCTGGGTGTGGTAGTGTATGCCTGTAATCCCAGTACTTGGGAGACTGAGGCAAGAAGATCCCTGAGACTTCCAGGTCAGTTTGGGCTACATATAGTGAGATCCTGTCTCAAAAAGAAATTAGACTCTAAAGAAAAACTGCAAAGTATGTATGGGTGAACAATCTACTGATGGATAAGGGAAGGTATAATATATTCTTTTTTTTCTCTTTTTTTTAATCTTTTTTGAGACAGGGTCTCGTTATGCAGTTCAGGCTGGCCTTGATCTCACTTTGTAGCCCAGGCTGGTCTGGAACTCGCAAAGATCCTCCCACCTCAGCCTCCCGAGTGCTGGGATCACAGGTGTGAACCTCCACACCTGGCTGGTATGGTATATTCTTAAGAACATCTGTCACTAAAGGACACAGACTTCAAAGTTCTCATAATCTAAGACCCTCTAGGTCCCCAACTTTCTTTTTCTACTTTCTCTTTTTAGTGTAGGCCTTTTCATTTAAAGACCAATATAAAATTTGACACTGTAACATTAAATATTGCTTGTCAATTTCCTGGGTCACCTTTGTCTATTGTGACACTCCAGGGCAACATCAAAACCAAGCCAAGCCACTTCCTTTTCAGCCCATTTGGGGGAGGCAAGGGAGAGCATCGTGTTTATCTAAATTAAGAGCATATTTAACCTTTCATCCAAAATATTAAGATGAACAGTGTTCCTTTCCACAGCATCTTCCTGGAGACAGAAAGAAATAGTGTGCTTTAGAGTTGACAAAAATTCTTTTCTGCTTCTAGTAAAGATGACTACACAATTAATTTGAAGTGAAATTTACATTTTAGATTTTCATTTTTAAGAGGTAGCTGCTGAAGTACAGAACTATTTTTATCATGAAAATAAATGCCCCAGAGAAGGATTTCCAAACTATTAAATATTTCCTATTACACACCTGAGCAGCTACCCCAGATTGACTTACTGACTTGTCAGAAAACGACTTCGACCTGCAACTGTCAAAGTCAGACAGCTTCTTTCTTTTCCCTTTTCTCTCTCTTTTTCTTTTTCTCAGTTTGTGGAATAATTTTGCTGTATAAGAAATGACAGAGATTGCCTAGGTGACTAGGGCAACAGTATACAGAGAAGAACTGGACGAGAAAATGTGACTAAGTCTACCAAACAAAACAGGAAAAATAACCCAGTTCTTAAAAACACCTCTAAGTCCCCCAAATCACTCTTCCTGCGAAAAAGTTACTTTTTTTTTTTTTTTTTTTTTTTGGTGCCAGGGATGGAACTCAGGGCCTTGCATTTGCCAAAAGGGCACTTAGGGCCGCTGAACTAAACCCCTGGCCCTGAGAAAGTTACCTGTTATAGAGGACCTCAGACCTGTCACTTACTAACACGTTTAGGAATATTTCTAAGCATAGAAGACAACATGTTTCTTGCTGCTATTGTCTTGAGGCAAAAATAGTGACTGTGTGGTACATGAGGTCACCACACTATTCTATTATTTTTTTTTTCCAGGCAAGGAGCCCCATCTGAAAGCTCACAAAATTGAGGGAAATTGAGTACCAAAATTAGGAGAGGCTGTTTCTAAATGAGTGCTTTTTGCATAGCTTAAATTAACTTGAACTCAAAAGTTTAAGCTTTAGGCTTTAAAATGCTAATTCCAAAATCACTTACCTAAATTCCCTTCGAATACTTTCACCTTTGAATAGATAACAAAATCACACCCAAAGTCCGAACAAACCTGGTGTAAAAGGACGGACGGGTGTTTTCCGCCCGTGAACAGAGTTTGGCTGGAAAAATGAAACACCGGTTTCAGTTGCTCTGAAGTAAACCGGAGTAAAAAGGCCCACAACAGAAGGTCCCCGGGACTGCATTCCACAAAAGAGCTGTCAATCCATCAATTTGAGACCCTACTCCTAAGTGAAATAAACCAGACTCACATGTGTAATCATCGTACCGTCTCCCTAGTGTGAGAAGCCGAAAGAGTAAATAAAGATCCGGAATATACACTGATATTGTGAAATGCGGAGGAATTGTTCAAAAGGAAAGAGAAACTGGGATGGGCGAAACAAGAAAAAAAAAAGAGCAAATATCTATCTATATATGATAGTTAAAACAGTTAAATTACTAATTTCTCTTAATTCATTGAAAAGAAAGGTTTGTGCTAATTTTGTTTGGACAATTAAATGTTTATACCTTTTACTTCGAGAAGCTAGTTTAAAGATAATACGCAATGTATTAACCATTGTTATTCTCTTATTATCACTTTGAAATTTTGCTGTATTTTTTTCTCTAAAATAAAATTTTTTTAATGTCGCATTAGCACACGTCCGCAGTACGCTACGTGGGCCTTCACGGTGGGGAGCCGACACTACGCCGGCGCCTTCATTCCTCCCTCTCCCTCCCCCACTCCTCGGTCCCCTCCGCGCCTGCAGATCTCCGTGGATCCACTCAATCGGTTCGATCGGGATCCGGAGCCCATTGGCTGAGAGCCAGCCCCGAACCCCGTCACCGGATCACAAAGGATTAGGGCTCAACCGACTAGGCAGGTGGCCCGAGCAGCCACCCCAAACTGACTTATTGGCTTCTCAGTAAGCGAGTGTGCAGTTTGGGTTACCGTCTCGGCTGCGTGTTCGTTAAAACTTGTTACGGGGTTCAGGATCCGGAGCCTCGGAACGGGGTGGCGCCTTTCACCTGAAACCAGGCGGTGCGGTTCTCGCCTGGCCCCGGGGCGGGCGCGGAGGGGCGTGGCCGGCCATGTGGGCGTGTTCAGGAGAGTGGGCGTGGTCTGAGGGTGGGCGTGTCGAGCCCCGCCCTGTCGGTGCGCTTGGGTATAAAAGCCAAGTTCGCGCGCCCCCTGCGCGCACCTGTCCTACCCCAGCCAGGAACCCCGAGCGTAGAGCTAAGCCGAGGCGGGGCTGCCAGGTTGGCCCCCAAAGGGATGCAATCGCCCGAGCGGCGAGACCAGCCCCGCTCGCCCCTGGCTGCGGCCGCGCCGCACCCGCCCTCGGCCGGCGACATGGCCCTGTACTGCGGCGACAACTTCGGCGTGTACTCGCAGCCCGGCCTGGCCGCGCCCGCCGCCCCTGCCGCCCCTGGCGCGTCCTCGGCCGCCCGCGCGCCCTATACGCTGGCCGACTACGGCGCGCCGCCGCCGGGCACTCCGAACCCCTACCTGTGGCTCAACGGGCCCAGCGTGGGCGGCTCTCCTGCAGCCGCTTACCTGGGCGCCCCGCCGCCGCCACCGCCTCCCGGGGCCGCGGCCGGACCCTTCCTGCAACCGCCGCCCGGCGCGGGCACCTTCGGCTGTGCGCAGCGGCCCTTCGCGCAGCCCGCGCCCACCTCGCCCGCCGCCGCGCCCGGGGCTGCCGGGGCGCCTGGGGAGCTGGGCTGGCTGTCCATGGCCAGCCGCGAGGATCTGATGAAGATGGTGCGGCCGCCCTACTCCTACTCGGCGCTCATCGCCATGGCCATCCAGAGCGCGCCTGAGCGCAAGCTCACGCTCAGCCACATCTACCAGTACGTGGCCGACAGCTTCCCCTTCTACCAGCGCAGCAAGGCCGGCTGGCAGAACTCCATCCGCCACAACCTGTCGCTCAACGACTGCTTCAAGAAGGTGCCCCGCGACGAGGACGATCCAGGTGAGGCCGGCCGGACAGGTGCCACCCGGCTGGCGAGAGCGCAGGACGCGAGGGCGCAGGCGGAATCTTGCGTGGCCGGCTGGGAGAACTCGAGGGTCTTGTGCACTTTGCAGGGGAGAAGTGGAGAACAGGCTCCCCAATCTCATCGAATGGGATTGAGGGTGACCAGTGGACAAAAAATTAGCAGAGGTGCTCAGAGGGAAGACCCGATTAGGTGGGGGAGCGCATCCCTTATAGCCACAAACTAAGGCCGACCAGTTGAAGGGTCGAGTGGGTGTCGTTTCGAGCCGCGTTCATCTGCCCATTCGAAGGAATGGGCTAGTTACAGAGAAGGGTAGATGGGGAAGGTCGCAGACAGGCGAGCTCTGGTTCTGAAGGGAATGAGGTGAGCTGAGAATCCCAGGTCTTTCACAAAGAGCTCGGAGCCGCGGCGCACCGTGCGCCTCTTTCTCCATCGGATCGGTAAACGGCTCACGGCTCACGGGGATCCTAGTGCCGCAGGCATCGTGACCTGCAGCATGGGGCTGGGAGATTCTCTGTGCGTCCTGCAAGTTGTGGTGTTGGCGCCTTAACTAGTCATAAATTTCTAAATGAACACTCCAAATTTGTTTTGTCCTTGTTCAGTTTTTTTATTATTAATTAATACTTGTAGTATATAACGATCACATGCCTCGTGGGGAGTTAGTACGAGTACAAAAACACATCTTGGTTCTTAAATCCCGAAGCAAGGTTGTATCTCCTAGCTGGTCTTGAGAGGTGGGGGTGGAGAGAAACAATCCTGCAACAGGTTTTCTGGAGAAGTCCAGGACAAGAGAACGGCAGGGAGGAAGTTGGAACAGGAAAAGAAGTTAATCATTTTAATCCTACCTTACTGTGGCGCCCAGCATGAGTTGGTCCCTAAGACATTTTGGATGTGCACTGTGCGCGCGTGTGCATATTTAGAATGCCCTGAACCCAGGGCATTTTGCATGTTAATCAAAACTCTGCCGCTGAGTTACCACCCCAGTCCCGAGGTCACCCTAGAGCAGCAATTGCTAATAGAATCACTAGAGTATAAGCCATGTGTGATTGTAGGTGTTCTAGTAGCCACATTAAAAAAGACGGTAATTGTATTATTTTTAAGTAACCAAAATGTCATTTCAACATATAAGAATTACTAGTGAGATTCTTTTTTTTGTTTGTCTTTTTGAGACAAGGTCTCACTATGCAGTTCAGGCTGGCCTTGAGCTTACTTTGTAGCCCAGGCTGATCTCTAAACTTGCAAGGATCCACCTACCTGGCCTCCTGAGTGCTGGGATTACAAGCATGCCCCACCACACCTAGCTCTTTTCTTTTCTTTTCTTTTTTTTTTTTTTGGTCTTTTTCTTATGTTATTTTCTTGGACATATGTTATTTTCTTGGACATAAGTCTAAAAATCTTGTGTGTCTTATGCCACATCTTGATTTGAGCCAGCCACATTTCAAGTGCCCATGGATACCTGTGGCCAGTGATTACCGTGCTGCACAAATCATGCTGTTGAAGACATCTTGATTTGGCCTTTGAATTACCCAGGATTATTGTGTCAGTTGTCTGTGACTTTCTAAAAAGTTCACAGCTAACGGTGATATCTTGAAAGCTATGGGTCCCTGCAAAACAAAACAAAACAAAACAAAAGAAAAAATTGGTGGCAGGGAAATAGAAAGAAAAAAAACATTTGGAATGCAGATAGCTTAATACACATATCCAGATTTTAGGTAGATATTACTCTAAATGGTAGTCATATAATTTTTTCTTTCCTGCAACTATCTGTAGAAAATATTTGACTGGAGATACTGTGCTTACAGGAGTGCCCAACTCCCAAGGTATCTTCACAGGATGGTTAAATTAAGAACACAGACTCTACTGTAATCCCAGCTAGGCAAAGGGCAGGAGGACTGCAAATTTCAGGAGATCCTTGGCAATTTAGCAAGACTCCATCTCAAAGTAAAACTGGGTTGGGTATATAGATCAGAAAGGAAGTTCTGGCTCAACTCCCGATAAAGTCTGGAGCCAGCCTGCTTAAATGTGGCTTTCCCTCCGAAATGACTGTGTGACATGGTACTAACCAGCCGGTGTGCCCTACCATTTTCCCATCTCAGAAGTATCGCCAGTAATATACCTATCTCCATGGACCTGTGAGCAGTAACAGGTTATCCAGGTAAAGGGACTCACTAGAAGGTTAATGCTTAATAATACTTTCAAACACCAAGGATTCTTTTTGGCAGTAGTGAGAAAAAAGTATTGAGCCTGGCATGGTGGTACACACCTGTAATCTCATTGTGCTGCGAGGCTGAAGCAGGAGGATCAAAAAAAAAGTTCTAGCCCAGCCAGTAATTAACAAGACCCCATGTCAAAATAAAAAATAAAAAGGACTGGGGGTGAGTACCAGTTCCCAATCCCAGAGAACTGGTGATGACAATTGTTTGTACTTAAGCTGTTGACAGTGAGGGACATTTTCTAGGCAGAAGGCAAGCACTGCATGCATTAAATGAGTGCCCGTTTGCCCAGTGGGCATTAACAGCAACATGTCCTGTGCAAGATGAGGTGTGAATGTTGGCTCCAAAGCTTCCTAGTACTCCAAATGCGTGCCTCCAACAGTGGGTTGATTTTACAGCTCGCCGCCCCTTTCCCAGTGGGATGTTCTGCAGGGGTAGGAGCCATGCATTTTTAGGGAAGAATAGAAAACTCTGTTTTCATCACTTGTGTGCCAACCTCTATGCTGAGATAGCATTTAAGACCTCAGACTACTAGATGGGTACCATCCTTTTCCCTTTTCATTTTAACCCCCATTTTATAAAAGAAATGGGAGCTCATATTTTAAAAGGCAGCAGAACTGATGGCTTTGCTAGGCCACACCATTTACATCTAGGATAAAAGAACACGTTGCTTCATTGCATTGTGTGTGCCTCCAGCATAGATTCAGGTCTTAGGGTTGAAGCTGTAGACATTTCCAGGTTTCTCTCTAACGCAAGAAGTGTCTCCTCCAAAACATGGCTAAAACACTCACAGACCAAGAATTTTGTCAGCGTTTCACAAGTCTCAGATTGAGAGCAGAGTTAGTACAGTGACCTTTTCTTTACCTCAGTTTTATTTTCTGGTTTCACTTGTTTAAAATCAACTGCAGCCCAAAAATACTTAACTGGAAATTTCCAGAAATAAGCAGAGACCACCATCTTCACATAGCTTTTGTTACAGTACATTTTTATGTCTATTTTATTACTGTTAATCTTTCACTATGCCTAATTTATTGACTATACTGCATCAGAGGTGTGTGTGTGCGGAAAAGCATGTGTAGGATTTCACCCTATCCATGTTTCAGGGATCTATTCATAAACTAGGTCCTCCTCTATCTAACGTGTCTTTATTTCCACAGGAAAAGGCAACTACTGGACTCTGGATCCAAACTGTGAGAAAATGTTTGACAACGGGAACTTCCGCCGGAAGAGGAAGCGACGCTCTGAAGCTGGCAACAGCTCTTCGGCAGCCCTGGGGACATCAAAATCAGAAGAAGGACAGGGGGCCGGGGAAGGCAGGAAGGTGGAAGGAGGCAGCCCCCCCTCCCTGCTGCGGCTCCCACAGTCCCCGGAGCCCCCCGAGGGCACCAAGAGTACTGCCTCCTCCCCGGGCTCCTCCCTGCTCAGCTCCACGCCCTGCCTCAGCACCTTCTTCAGCAGCCTCAACGCCCTTGGTGGCGGTGGCAGTGGGGGCACCCAGCGGGCCTTCCACGGCAGCCGCCACCTGGGCATCCAAGGCGCCCAGCTGCCCTCCAGCAGCCCGTTCTCCTCCACCTCCATCCCCGAGGCCTCTTCTGACGCCTTGCAGCTGAGTAGCGGCCCTAACAGCAACCAGCGATCTTCCTACTACAGCCCTTTGCCCGCCAGCACCAGCACGGGCCAGAGCAGCCCCTTCAGCAACCCTTTCTACAACTTCAGCATGGTCAACACCCTCGTCTACCCCCGGGAGGGCTCGGAGGTGTAGAGACAGACCCTGCAGCTGAATCGAGCTTCTGGGTAGTCTGTGGTCCGGAGAAGCAGAGAACTCTTAATCTTAACTCCAACGAGCATTTCCAGGTGTCTCTGGACCTGTCTACTCAGACACAGGTAGCCTGTGAGCCCTGTGTGGGCTGGGACAATCTGTTCTGTCTCTGTGTCCCAGGGTGGCAAGCCCAGGTGTGTCCCACTGTTCCAAAACATAAGCCAGCAGGTTCCCGACTGGGAAAACCACAGCAGCTGGCACTGAAGCAGTAGAGAGAGGTCGGCGGAAGCCTGCCTTGAGTAGCTGGTTGTCTTCTCCATGGCAGGGTGCTGATTTTTCAAGAAAAGCCAGGTAATAAGGGTTTTTGTAGGAAATGCCACAAATCCTTGAACTCTGAGCAGCTCCCAGCTCCTCTCTGTCTGGTATCCAGTGGATACCGGTAGCAATTGAACTGTAGGTGCAGCCCTGTGTTCCAAGTGCTCTGTCGACGGCTGGCCACCTCTTCTTAACCCACTATCCTCCCAGCAGCCGTGGGACACAGGCATGCCCAGCCCTCCTTTTCATTTTGAAGGAAGTACAACTCTGAGACGTTAGGTAACTACTGAACATTGTGGAGCCAGGGAGAACTTGTAACTTCTGTGTTTTAGCTCCTAAAAACCAGCCAACCTCACGGGCAGACTTCTGTAAGAATAAAAAAGGATGGGGCTAGATCACACCTAACCAAAGATTCCCATTGAAAGTCTTTTTTTCTTCTTCTTCTTCTTGGTATTGGGGATTGAACTCAGGACCTTGTGCTTGCCAGGCAGGCACTTATGTTGCTGATCTACATCCCCAGCCTCCTTTCCTTTCCTTTCTTTTTTTCCTTTTCTTTTCTGTCTTTGTTTTTGGAGGTCAGTTTCTTGTTTCTGGGACAAAATACCTGAAACCTGCAATCTAGAGGAGAGCTTGGTTTTGGTTCATGGTTTCAGTCCACGGTTGGCAGGCTTCACGATAGAAATGGCATGCTAAGAGGGCACGGTGGAAGAAGGCTGCTCGTGATACGGTGGCTGGCAAGCAGAGAGAGAAGCTGAAACAAAAATATACCCTTCCAAACTGGGTGTAGTGATGGGTGCCTCTATAATCCCAGCACTTGGAAGGCTGAGGCAGAAAGATTGCCATGAAGCTAGCCTGGACTACATAGTGAGTTCAAGGTCAGCCTGAAATACCCAATGAGACCTTGTCTCCAAAAACAAACAAAAAAAAGAAGAAGAAGGGTGGGTGGGTGGGAGAGACACTTTTATAGGGAACATTTTAGATCTAAACCATAAGAGACAAGGTCTTGCTATGCAGCCCAGGCAGTCGTTGAACTCTGTGTAGCCCTTTGGCTTCCAACTTGGAATCCTCCTGCCTCAGCCTCCTGTGTGCTGGCATTGCCGGTCCGCACCACCATAGCTGGCTGAGTCATTTGAGATGGTTTTCCTGGGCAGCAGAGGCAGTGCCACCTCTGTCTTTTTTTTTCTTTTTCACTGCCCTTGTCATCTGAGAAACCACCTGTGTCTTATCTATCCCTGCTGCTGATGTCCAGTGTCTGCACGGCCCTGGTGTATCAAGCAGCATCCCAACCCTCTTATCTGTGTCCTGAAATGTTTCATTTTCTAACAAAGTACTATTAGAACTTTATACACAGTTTAAATGAGGGTCAGGTTTTTAAAAATACATGTATCGCTTTATTTATTTTAGATCCCTTTTTCTCGGAGATACCTTCCTTAGAATCACTTTTATGGTCTCCTTCCGGGTAGTGTAGAGGGTAGAGACCCTCGGGTGTTAGGTGGTAATCACTCAGCCATTATTGTTGAACAGCAATGTATTCCAGAAGTATTAATTAAAAATGCAAATAGTTGTTGGGTTTACATGAACAGCTTTCCAGTAAGATGAAGATAATGTCCTATGAGTTGCCTTCATGCCATGTTTTTGAGCCTTTGATGTAAGGATAGTTGGGGCATTTTAAGAATTTGAGGGGTAGGGACTAAGGATTAAACTCAGGACCTCACGCCTGCCAGGCAGGTGCTGTGACATTGAGCTAAATCCTTGGCCCCGCTTTTAAGATTTTTAGAAACTGTCATACACATTGTAAAAGAAAGTTGTTTATTCCTGTGTATTTTTTTAAGACTCCCACAATTTATTTTGAAATACACATAGGAGATACTTAGAGGAGGAGATTATTTTTCCTGTGGCTTGTGAGATACAGATTATGTCACCCCTTTTTTTTTTTTTAAGAAATACAGAAATGCCAATGCCTTTTAACTGTTGTGCAGAAAGACAACCAAAGACACTCCCCACCCCCATCCCATGGATCTCCAAACCTGTTTCTATGAATATTTTTGTATGTGAAAAAAAATCATGGACTTTTATATTGTTTCTATCAAGTCTATATTTGTGAATTAATTTATAATGTGAACAGAGGCAGCAAAGAAAACATTTTTTTTCCTCGAACGCACAGGGCGAGCAGAGAAGGATCATGTGATATGGACTTGGAGCAGCTTAGTTTCTAAAAGAGCTGGAATAAAACAGTTACTCGTTGGGGAGGGTCTCTATGCTGCCTGTTTATTTTTAACAGTAACAGTTCCTTCCTTTATCTTTGGGTATGGTCCTGGGGGAAGGGGACACAGGCAGTTCCTGGTTCTCCAGGGAATTGCCAGACTCCTGACTCTTCAACTTGGCCCCAGCTAGAAAGAACACAAAATCCCAGTGTTAGCCCTGTGCCATGGTCGGGGCTGGATGAGGCTTTGTCACCCAGCCTGTCCTGTGTGTCAGGCTCAGCAGTGTCCCTGTCCCCTACCCATGTGATGCTTTGAGCACAGCCACCCTGGTGAACCCCAGGAGGGAGGGTGGGGGGCCCAGCCCAGGGAGAACTGATTGTACCCCATACCCACAACATGCCAACGCAGCAGTAGCCTCTCTGGAGCCCCAGGACTTATGGCCACTATTGGGCCCTGGCTGGGTCAGCTTGGGGCTGTAAGACAGACCAGTTCCTGTCCTGTGTGCTGGCTTTTCTCCTAGAGAAGTCGGAGGTGAACCGAACTCAGATCTGGTTAGCCTGGCATGCTGGAGGCAGAATCTTTGAGTGTTCTGGTTCCTAATTAGAGTTTCTTGTGGTAGTTTCCTGCTTCACATCTGATTATTTCTATTAATTCAGGCTCAGGGCTGGGAATAATTTTGACTAAAACATTTCTTGGGAGGGTCAGCCAAGAAGCTTTCTTGGAAACCATTTTTTCTGGAGGTGGGTTTCTTTGAGACAGGCCCTTGCTATGTAGCCCAGGCTGGCCTCGAACTCATAGCCTCTCAGCCTCCTAAGTACTGGGATTGCAAGTGTGTACCACCTTGCCCAGCATCTTGGAAAGATTTTTAAACTACATGTGTGATTAAAATGTAGTTGGTGAAGGTTAAATGCTAGATTCATGCAAGCAATGAGGGCAGGTAAAGAGAAGAATCTCTTGCCAAGGGTCAGCAGGGTGGCTGCAGCCCAGCGTGGAAAGAGTCTCTGCTCTGTCAAGTGCACTGGGCCACCAGCTGCTACTGGGTGTGGGTTTTAGAGTGAGGGATGCTTCCAGGTCAGAACTACAGCAGCACCCAGTTGGCTCTGATTCCTGCATATGTGAAGGATGTTTTGTTTTGGCCTGGGAAGCAGGTCAGAAATCCTAGATCTACATTGCTGTTCATGCAGCTTAGCTTGGGACCACGCAGAGGACAAGGTGTGGTCCTGCACTGTGGATTGGGAGCCCTTCCTTGGGATTTCCCTGCAGCAGGAGGAGCTGGGGCTGGTGTCACGATTGCAGACCAGGTCACCCCCACCCCTCCACCCCTCCGGGCCCTGCCTGATTCCAGGGCGCCGCTGCCTTCCTGCCCCTCTGGGGCTTGGTGCACCATTCAGAGGAAGACCCCGCCAGAGGAGCATGTGAAGAACTAATGAGCAGGTTTCAGATTTCCCTCTCAACACTTTCAGATCCTGCATCCAGTTCCTGAGCTCACTGGGGAAAGGCAGCTGAGGAGCCCAGGAGTTTTGGAGACATGTCCTTGCAACCCTCCCCTCCCTGCAAAGGCACTCGCAGGTCCCTCCGGAGCCAAACCCAGTGGAGGAGGAGGCTCCCAAAGGCTCTTCTCAGGTTGTTAATGAAAGAGACCCCTGGTGCCCCCTGGGGCAGGGGATCAGGGTTCAGGCTGCAGGCTTGGCGCCTGCCTGGCCTTTGTCATGGAAAGCCCTCTGCTGAGGCGTGGGGCCTGGTGGTGGGGCCACCACCGAAGAATAAAGGAATTTCATGTGAGATTCATTCGAAAACAAAAACGGGCCAGAAAAGACCAGCGACTTGACAAATTCCTCCTGTGGAGGCATAGAGCACAGGCCTTTATCATTTTAAAAAAGATAAGCATTACAATAATAATAACCCACTTAGCAGATGCCGAGCACTGTCCTGAAATACCTATATGAAATATTAAAGTGGCCCAATTAATCCTCAAGGGAAACTCTGCCCTTATCCAACTCCAGGAGAGAACCTCAAGGCCTGGGAGTTGGCAAAATTGCGGGTAAGTAGTGGAAGCAGGGTTCAAACTCGGGCCAACAGGTACGTTAATCTACCACCCGCCAGGGGCTGGGGATTTAGCTCAGCGGCATAAGTGCCTGCCTTGAAAGCAGGCAGTCGTGAGTTCGATCCCTGGTACCGATGAAAATGAAATGAAAAAGCAAAAAAAAAAAAATCTACCACCCGCCTCTCCCTTTCAAACAGGAGGAGCTCAGCAGCTTCCCCAGGCCCACAGGTTCTGACCTGGGCTTAGCAGCCAGCGTCCTGCAGCTGCTCAGTGATTCATCTTCCTGTTCCTTTCCTGTGTTCCCTGGGATTGGGTTTTGCAACTGGGGCTCCTTGCTGAGCACCCCGAAAGGTATGTGGAAGGGGAGTCACTGCCTTGGCCAGCACTCCCAGCGGCTGGGGCAGAGGCCCACATCTTGACTCCGAAGCTGCCTAAGGAGGCCAGACTTTGAAACAATGGCTGGGAACTTTGGGCTCCATTGGAAATTTATTCACCAACTCTGCAAATCCCTGTTGGGCACCATGCCCTGTGCCAGGCTTTGAGGAAACTAATGCAGTTAGAACCATCCTCAGGCTTGCTTACTCCTAATGAGAAAGTCAGCTTCGAAGTGCACATGGCAGGGACTCCAAGGCTAGCTGATCACCACCCACCGACCTGTGAGCCTCTGGAGAGGGAGGGAGACTGGCTTTGCCTCCAGGGGGGAACAGCAGTCAGCTCTACATCCTGGGCGGAGTCACAGCTCCAGGCTCCCTCTGTTCCTTACAGCTCCTGCTAGGAGGAGAGGGACTGGGATGTTGCAGGTGCATAAAGCCAGCAGAGCTGACCAAGGTCTGGTGGGGCTCACTTTCTACCAAGCCCACCAGACTGGTCGGGGTCTCACTGTGTAGCCAGGCTGGGCTGGAACTTGCAGTGATCTTGCTGCCTCAGCCCACACATGTGAACCACCATGCCCAGCTCACGTGCACCCTTGACTCCCCGCTTTCCGGCCACAGTGTAGGGAAGAAGCCATGGAGCCTGCATTCTTCCCTTGCACTTCAAAGGAGCTTCGCAGCGCCAAGGTTGCTGGGGTTTTCTCCTCCCCAGTTTGTTCTCCTGAAGCACGTTAAGCAAAGATAATGCAAGACCTCTCTGCTCCAGTCGGGATCCAAACAGG